TCATGACAGTGTGACATAATGAGAGAAGTGTTACCACACAGGGGGGATCTGAGGCCCAAACATTTAAGTGGTTTGCCTTAATTCCTAAAGATGTGAACAGATCTGAGGCTAAAATACAGATTCCCTGCCTTCTTTTAATCCAGGGTTCTTTCTCTTAGATGCACTTGAAATGTCTCTTGCAGTAGTAAAAATTAAGAGAAAGAAAGAAAGAAAGAAAAGAAAGATTAACCTGCTTTCTTAAAATTCACTGCAGCTCAGATATAATTGAATCAGCCTTTAGTTAAATTAGACAGGAAATAACTACGAACCCATATGAACAAGCCACCAGTGTTTGGCAAGACATTTAGCTCGCATTTGATGCCTGCTTTCTACGTGGCAAGCCCTTTACCAGATACTGGTGATGAAGTGGTAAGTGTAACTGGGGGCCAGAAAGAATACTCCCCACCTTTTGCTCACCTTTGATTTAGTGTAAATCTACAGCATTTCCTTACTAAAAACTACGCTACCCTCTCATCACTTGTGCTGCTAAATGGAAGCAAAATGATGGAGTGACATCAACGATGCAGGTTCTCCCAGGGGCCTGTGACGTCAGTGCTTCTGATGGAGGGCGGTGCTAATACATCTGATTCACATTTTCACTTGTTTCTCAGTCTGGAAAACAAATAATTAGTAAGAAGTCCAGCAAAGGAAAGAGCCAACTATTAAAGCACTGGGAAGCACACTAAAATAAAGAATTTATTTTCTCACATTTTTCTATACTGTCTTATCCACAACTGAAATAAAATGTGCATTTTTTTAATCACAGCCCCCAAGGCCGAAATAATGAACAAGTGCAGAAAAGGAGAAAGAAGGAGAAAATCTAAAATATACCAAAGTAAAAATGAAGCCAAGTGAGATCTACACAGATGTTACTTAATAAACTACAAAATAATAGGACCCAACAAAGTGGGATTCTCCAGGGTGTGTGAGCAGCTCTACTTTGCCTAAGAAGCAAAGATAAAACTGCAGTTCCGGGGAGGCTTGTATAGGGAATGGGCCACATCAGAAGGAAATATGATAAATGGCCTCG